CTAAGAAATAGATACATAAACAGACTTCGCTGAGCTTTCAGGAAGAGTAATAACCATAATAAATACAATTAAGAATCATCCGATGGAATAGCTTCATTTCCAGGCTTATTGCCTACAATGTCTGAGCTTTGTGTTAGCTTTTGTGTTGTAAGACAAAAATATTTAAGTATCAAAATGGTGAGCCATTATATAAGGTATGGCTGCATTTGAAAGGCACTCCTACTTGAGGCATAATTAGCATAGATCAAGGTGCAGGAATAGGCAACAGATGCCAGGTTTGGGAGTAAATGTTAGCCAGATGCTTAAGGTTCTACTCATAACCTCAACAGATATTACCTTAGAGAATGAATGGTACAAAGACTCCTTATTTAAGGTTAGAATCCCTAATGCAACTTCAAAGATTCAGTTAATCAATGGACGATATAGAATTAATCTTATTCTCACTGATTTATGAGAATGGGTAGAAGCTTATTTTAATTAGTAATAAGTAAAAATATTTCCTTTAAATTATCTCTCTCACCAACTCATATTGAAGAATATCCCTAATACTTTTTTAATTATCTCTGAACTCCTATTACCATGACCGGATAATTATTGACAATTAATTTAAAACTATTAGTTATGCCTTCTCTCAACTCATGGAAGAAAAAAGAAAAAAAAAAAGAAAACTATTAGTTAAAAGGCAAATGCTGTTTCAAACCACTGAGACCTCCGAGTTAAAAAAAAAATTTTTAATCCTGAGAAAGAAATGTTCAGGGCCAAATAAACCAAACCACAAACAATGCACAGTATTTCAGTTGCTGGAACCTGACCAACCAGAAATCTCAACAACTAAAATTATTTTTCTTCAACATTCCACTCTTCAGTGAAATAAATGACAACAAAGGCAAAATACATTCATATCAGTGATTAAAAGCATTTAGAAATGCATTCAGCTTAAAATACTCTATTTGCATATTGACCATACCATATGTATATAAAATGATCAACCACTGCAGATTCAGTCATGCTCCTTACAAAGTACTTTCATATACCTACACTTTGAGTTTCACAATAGCCTTTTGACACAGTTATGGCAATTCTCATCAATATTTTGCAGGTGAAGAAATGGAGCTCTAGAGGGCCTTATAATGTCACCAAGTAATAAGTAGCACATGTACTACTGACTCTAAGTCTTATAATTCTTTCCATGTTTATCATACTATGCTTACGAAGATAAGATACACACACATGTTATCACATATATGTGTGATATATGAACTTGAATTTTGAATAAGAACTTTTGGATCATTTCTAAGTTGAAATTCAGGAAACCAGCAGATCCCATTCATAGAACATTTTACTTTATAGTAAAATGGAATCCATATGAAGCAAACCTCTGAAGTAACCAGCTCCTTAAGACCTGAGACATGTACTCTCCTTGCTAGCCTAATTGTCCTGGGCATCTGTGGGCTGCTGGGGATATACTAGGCATAAGTGGCTTTTTCTCCTTTCTTGGAAGAAGCTTCAATAAGAGTAGGTCCTTACTTTTCCCAATTCCTAGTTCTTGGTTGCTGTGAGGTTGTTTCAAAACAGCATTGTCCAATAGAACTTTCTGCAATGATGAAAACTTTCTATATCTACACTGTCCAATAAGGTAGCCATTAGCCAAATATGATTATTAAACCCTTGAAACATGGCTAGTGTTACTGAGGGACTGAATTTTTAATTTTTAAAATTTTACTTAATTAAAACTTAAATGTAAATGGCTACATGTGGCCAGTGATTACTATGTTGGACAAAGTAGTTCTAGACAGTTTAATTTCTTGTTCACAGAGCCCAGGGTACCTCATCAATAACATTCTTGCAGGATCACCTAGAGAGGGTACAATAGATGTTACATATTTAATTATGAGTTATGTCTTAATTGGCTTTAGAGGGAACTTGAAGCAGGATGTTGGCATTAGCAATAAGAAGGCACATGAGGATTTTTAAGTAAGCAATAACAAATGAGAATATGTTGTGGTAAATATTAAGAGATGAGAGAGCAAAACAATGTCATTTGAAATGAATTTGAATTTCTAGACCCTATGTATTGGATTGGGACAGAACTATCAATTCAATACAGAAATCAAATTAATGAAGATGAGATTTTACTATGGGCTGGAAAGAGAAGCAAGAAGATAGGAACAGAACATCAGGTTCTGCTGTATGTTAGAGTGCACTAGAGCTCTAGGACCATTTCTAATGAAGCTACCTACTTGATAGAACTGTGAAGATTCAATGAAATGATTGATATAAGAATTTAGCATAGTGCTTACCATGTGGCGAACATTTTATATATATTAGCACTTGTAATGATCATTATTTATGCCTACATCTTTTTAGAGACTCTTCTAAGTCCCTAGGAGAATGTGGGAAGCTGCTTCAGGTAATCAATGTTGGGAAAAATTTTTTGGGGAATAGGTCATAGAAAAGGAAATATAGACAACATAAGGGCAAATCGAGAAGTTACATACCACCATTCCCATTTGTGAATTGCTGCCATAGAGAAAACTCTTACTGAGAAAGGTGGGTCATATCTCTCAGGTGTATTGAGTCAGATAACACTGGAATAGTGGGACCAGAGGAGAAAGAACTGGAAGAAGAAGTAGCCAAGAGGACTTCTTGTATTTTAGGTGTTTGTATTTGTGGTATATTACTGAATACAGTTTATGATTGCTGATGTTCTTGTCAAAGATAATCAAAGGAGGCAGCATGGAAGACTATTTCAAGAAGAATCATGGAGTAGTGGGAAGGACACTGGCCCTGGAATCAAGTTAACTGGGTTCTAATCCTAACTTTTAATCATATGACTTAGGCAAATGACCATCTTTTGGTTCCCAACTTCTCCTTGTGAAACAATGGTGCTGAATAATCTTTAAGGTATTCCAGCCCTAAAACTCAATAGTATAACTCTAAATATGAAAGCACATGTGATCTCGAATTCTCCAGGATTCCTGAACCCCTGCTGCTCTTTCAGGAAAGTCTGCTGGTGTAGTCCTCTAACCTGTTTCTGTAATCCTGGAGCTCAAGTTGTGTGAACAGTGGTATGTCAAGCAGCATGCTTGAGAAAGACGGTTGGAAGGATGGGAGTGAGTGGCAGTGGGTGGGAGAACAGATTAAGAAGAAAGGATTGGAAGAGAGAGCAGAGTGTGTGGAAAGGAAAACCAGGCCTCCCTCCCTTGTCATTCTCTTGCTATAATCCCCAATAACAGCTATTCGAAGCCAAATATCAAATAAGGGGATGAAAATGGCTTGGACTTTGGAGTTAAGCAAACATGAATTTGAATCCAACCTCTGGATTCAAGATATCCAGCTTTAGTTTCCTTATCTGTGTGATACTTACGGTTAGCAGCTACTGTGAATGTTTAACTGAGATGATATTGCCTAGTTGGTGTTCAGTAAATTCTCTCTTAGGTAGGCCTCCCAAAATTGGTTTAATCCTCCCCCACCTCACCCATAATATGAAAAGGTAGGCTGTGGCTCACACCTGCAATCCCAGCGCTTTGAGAGGCCTAAGTGGGGGGATCACTTGAAGCCAGGAGTTGAAGACCAATCTGGCAACATAGCGAGACACCATCGTCTCTACCACAAACAAACGAACCGTATGTAGTTAAAGAAACAATCACATAGGGCTTCTTAGAGATCTATATCTAGAGCATGCTGTGGGAAAGAAGGATGCTAAAGAGAGAAAAAGCCATAACCAGGAAGCCTCGTCCTTTGTATAGCCTTACAATTCTCTGGTTCGTGAAAGTTACAGAAATGTTTATCAAAACAAGCATCCCTAACTGCCTTTTCAACATTTTACTAACAGGAAGACTCAGTGCGCAGGCAGAGGAAACAGAACCCGTAGTTAGCAAAGCTGGATCCTGGCGTGACACCCACTCTTTGCTCTTCCACCCAGGAGTGCTGGGAACCTCCTCCCAGGCGGAGTCCGGGGAAGCAGAGAACCGAGGAAGGCAGAATACCTTTATCTGTTTCTGTAGGTCGCTTGCTTAGACTCCTTTCCGTGGTTCTAACGCAGTTTCTGCTTGCAAGGAACGCTGGCTAGCTGTGAGCCGCCCCAGCCTCCGAGAACTTTCAGCACCGCGGACAGCGCCCTCCCTCAAGCCCGAGTCGTCTGTTCTGCGGCCCAGGCTCCCGCCAGGTGTTATCCTGACCCCGGCGCTCTCCCAGACCCCATACCTCAGGGGAAAGCAGGTTATCACGCTGTGGCCCTTGGTCAACCCCGGCCAGTGACTTCCCCCGCCACATAGGCGAGAATCCCTTCGCCAGAGCCGGTTCCACTGAGCCTCTCAGCTCAAGACCTCAAGGAACCGAGCTTCACCCGGGTAGGCGCAAGAGGAGCGCCAGGATCAGGCAAGAGCCCTGCTGCTCTAGCCTTCGCGCATCTTTTCTCTGCCTTTCCTTCGCTTACTCTCCAATCGCAATATAAAATACACGTTTGGGGGCGGGGTGACAGGACAGAGAGGAGGTTGGGGGCTGCGTCCCGAGTGAACACGCCGCCCCGCCTCGCCCTCTGGATTCGTGGGAAATTGATGTGCTTTGGGGTGAGCAAGAGGGAGCCTGACGGGGCGAAGCAGCGCAGGCGAGAGTGCTCTCCCCGAGGCCGCCCGCTCTCAGCCGAGAGCTTCCCTGGACACTTCCCCCTCACGTCCTCCTCGCCGCCCCGGCGTGTCACCGCTCTCCGGGGACAGATGCCCCTGGGGAGCAACCGGCCTGGTCGGGGCTCTGAGCTCAGCCCGAGTCCCTTTGAAGAGTTTGCTGTGAGGTAAAAGGGCCGATGTTGCCCCCGCCCTCCCCTCGGGCTGCGGCCGGAAAAGCTGCTCTTCCTTTCCTGGGCGCAGTCCCAGGCGGAGAACGGGGCTGCCCGAGCCGGGCGAGTGCCAAGGCGGGGGAGGCCGGCCCGGCGTGTGCCGAGACCCGGACCGGCCGGACGCTGCTCCCGGCTCGGTCCTCTGCCTCTCGCTCCGCAGCGCCGGGGCTGCGTCTGCCCCCGCCCCGCCTGGCAGCTCCCGCGGGCCGTCGGGGCCCTATTCCGGCCGGAGCCGGGGGACCCCGACCCAGAGCCTTCCTCCTTGCAGGGAACCCCTTCCCGGAGGGCGCCCTTAGCCTCCGCGCCATGTTCGCGCTCCCCCCTCCCGGCGGCTCCGGCTCCCAGGTTCATGCGGGGAGAGAGGATCATCCCAGTCCCAGGGGTTCCGCTGGGTCGCGGAGGTCGCGGATGGGGACTCTCTGCGGCGAAGGGGGCCGTCACTCACCCGAGGGGCTGGAGGCGACGCACCGGCTGCCGGGGCTGGCGGCTGGCGGTTCGCACTTACAGCGCGGGGCCGCCTCTTCGGCTGATAGGAGGTGGCGGTGGCGGCAAAGGCAGGCAGCAGGCAGCCGCTGCTGCTGAACAGCTCCTCAGTTATTCAGATCGCGCCCCCCTCCCCGGTACCCCTCCCGGCGCCTGCCAGTCCTCCCTCTAGCTCTCCTGTCTCCACCTCCTCGGAGTCACGTGGCCCGCCCAACCCCTTACATTACTGAGCCCGCGCCTCGCACCAGACACCCCCCTCCCCCCTACTCCGCTGTGTCTACCGCTCGTAACTCCTCGCTGGCCTCCTGAGCCTCCAGGTGCCACCTACAATGTCTCAGGCTGCGTGGAGGCTGAGGGGGACTGGGATGGGGACAATTGTCTGTCCTGGGAAAACAGGGGGAGGGCAGGACTTTGTAGTATCGGTGTATTGGGAAGGCATCTGTCTGCAGCTCCGCCTCTGTTAGACTCGGCTACTCAGACCCGCTTCCTGCCCTCCGAAAGCTTCCCCCTCCTCTACGGAGCCCTTACTGATCTTAAACTTCTACCTCCCTCAGCTCTACTGGAGAGAAAGGATGGTGGAGGTTGATTTCTTCTCTCTTCCTAAAGTAGACAAGACCCACCTCCTTCTCCAAAGCTCAAGTAATCCCAGTTTATCTTCAACATCTTATGGATGCAAAGACCATGGATTTGAGATTTGAACACTCACCTGGAATTCCAGTCTGCATGATCTTCGAGCATTTAACTTTCTTCTGTAATCTGTGAAATGACAATTTCACAGGATTGTCACTTAAATTAGAAATCATCATGTTCTTGGAATTGCCCAGCCCAGTACTGGACACATATTTAGAGCTCAGTAAATGAGAGTCCTTCATCCCCTGCCTCTGTTAAAATAAATTTCAGGAAACAGAAAAGGATGTAATATGTGCTAGTAGAGTGAAAGCATCTTTTTTAAACATGGAAGGAGACATCTGTGAGGTCAGGCTAGATAGATAACCAGTCTAAATGGGGACAGGAGAGACAAAAGTCTTATATTTTGCCTTGGTTCTTTTAAGGTGAATGTCCCAGAGCCAGGTTTTGTCTCAAAAGGGTAGGGACTAGATGGTACCAACCCAGATGTGCTTGGCTGCCTGAGTGAATAAAATATTTAACATGCATTTCGTAGATTGATTTGGATGGGAGGTACCTACATGAATTCTTGTACCTTTGGTACAAGCCCCTCAGAATACATGGGAGCTGATGAAATGTAACTCCCCACCATTGGAAATAAATTCACTGGGCTTGTGTTTGGGGAGAATACTAGCTGACTGACACCCCCTCCCTAAGGTGGAGTTGTTCAATTCAAATCTAGCTCTAGGTCGTGAGTCTACCCTGGGTCCCAAGGACCCTGGGTTCTCCCCAGAAGGATGGCAGACTGTTGCCAGGACAGTATTGGTAAGTTCACCTACTTCAAACTCATTACTGCCTTGGACCAGCATCCAGGCCTGAAGTCTGGAGATAGTCCCATAATTTCTGAGTAGTTCTGCAGGGTGTGTCATATCTCCTGGGATCCCCAAGAAACTGTGAAACATTGCAGAAAAAATGTAAAATTAAAGAATCAGAAATTTGGAATCTTAGTGTAGGCTCTGCTAGTTACTTATCACACGATCTTTGACAAATCACATAGGCTCTCAGAGTCATATTTAAAATGAGAAAAAATGTTTATCTGCCTTTTCTATAAGATAGTTGTGATGTTTAGATGGGATAATGCATGAGAAACCACTGTGAAAGGTAAAAAGTAAATGAATACAAGCTATTAATATTATGCACTGAAGAAAACCCTGAGTCTACCCTCATCCAGATGCACTATGGGGGTGAAGAGACAGAAAGATGGGATTTGGCATGGAATAGGCAAGTACTGAAATGTTGGTGTGTTTCTCTAAGTCTACATGAGTGCCTGTAATTCAAGGGGTGTGATGATTTGAGGTCTGCATGCTTTGTTTCATTCTCCTCCATGATGGATTTCTGAATTAAATCTCCATTTTTTTCCTTTGGCCTTTTATCTTTAGAAAAACACCAGCTACAATTACGGTGGTTACGAGTATTTACTATCTGAAATAAATTTGTGCATGTATTTCAGGACAGCAGGGTTTAGCTTTTTCAGCCTTTGGTAGTTAAATTGATTTGGATTGGTATTTCGAAATGGCTTTGGTTTCAAAGAAAAAATAGTCATATTTCAGGAGCAATTTCCGGATACTCATCAGCAGTTGAATGGTGATATGTGTTTCTAGTCTATTGCCAATAAACCCAAGGAAATCCTGAAATCCCCCACCCTTTCGCAGAATCCAATCCTGTTTCCTGTTTCCCTTTGTTGTTCTTCAGAAATTACCAATCTGGACATTTTTATATTTAGTGAGAACAAAAGACCAGAAGGTGTCAACCATGCTCCTATGCATACTACCTAGAAAAATTGTCCAGGTTAGGTAAAGCCTGCCTCTGACTCCTACCCACCTCTGCATTGTCACCAGAAAACATGAGGAAGAGAAGAATAAGCATGAAATCATTTGATTTGGCCTCAATATGGTGCCTTATGAACGGTTACTTGGATGAGTATAAATTTTAGAAAACTTTGAACATTTTCACCAGAAATTACTCTAGGACTCTAAATAATTTTTTTAAACCAATTTTGAATGCCCAAGTCAATTTTACCCAGCAAAGGACAGGAAAGGGAGCTGAGGGGACAGATGTTGCATAGATTGCAATACAAAGTTACACCTTAGTAAGGATTTCTTGTTAAGGTTTCCCTTGGGTCCTTCTCCCTTACTTATCAGCTCTTATCTGTGGCCTAATGACTGCTGACTTTATCATAAGCCACTGCAAACACTTTCTAGCTGTAGGTAGAGCATTAATGAATCAATAAATAGAAATGCAGTAGACAAAAATACAGTTAGGTATTTAGAACCATGCACAGCAGCAAAAATTGGCACACAGATCAGTTCCAGAGTTAAACAATGATATTACAGAGCCACTGATAATTAGATCTTGAAAGTACACATCCTAGTTTTCTTGTTCCAACAGTTGGAATATGGAGCTGTTGATTTGTTTATTCAACATGTTCTAAACATTCAAGATACAGCCATGAGCAATACAGAAATGGTTCTACTTTCCTTAAGTTTACAGTCTAGGGGAGAGGGTCTGACCATGAACAGGTAAACAAAACAGTGGAAGTAAGTACCATGATGAAAATAAAACAGAGCAATATAATAAGAAGTAAAGGGGCATCACTTTAGTTAAGTGGTAGAGAACTGGCATAAGAAAATGTGGTGTCCAGGCACAAAAGCTATTAGTCTCCAGGGAAGGTGCACAGCACTCTTACCTAGGGCCTTTTGCCAAAACTGTGTCATTAGCAGGGTAATCACTAAAATTCCTCATGATTGGCCTGCTAGGATGATGGTGGTTGACCACTAGGGGATTGGCCAGATGACTTAAAAACAATGATCTGTTTTTGTCTCATGATTCGTGGTGATGAATACCTGATGCTTTCTTCTAGAAGGACCTTGGGCTCATCAATGCCCTTGACTGTTGCTTCTGGGCAGATTCAGAAGCTGAGAAACCGAAGTCACTGAGACAGCCTGGCCAGAGGCTGGTCTGGAGCCTTCCAAAGGGAGCAGTACCTCTGGGCAGCAGGACAGAAAATAAGACACATAACTAGAACCCAGTGTATCATTGTTATACCATAAAGATATATTGAACAAATAACCTGCCGCTAGGATCCTACCAATTGGACTGGAAATTTATAAGCCAATTACCTATGAGTAAATTATCCTCTCAGTATCTAAATTCCGGGAGGAAGAAGGAGGATGTTGACCTGAGCATGCCCATTTCATAGCCAAATTTACAATCAGAAATAGCCCTCTTTCCACCCCCACCCCCACCCCCACAGTGTTAAGTAAAGTTGCTTAATGAGTAAACCTGTGGAGAGAAGTCAGAGGTCAGGAATGTCAAACCGATGGAGTTCCCTGACATGGAAGGAAATATTAAAGCAAAAACTTCTTCCCATTTATTATGTGATTCTTTAAATACACTCACATTTCTATATTAATTGATTTTAAAGAGGTTTCTGTCACTACATTAAGTAGATAAGTTGTGTCAGGTGCCATAAATACAAGATGACCATTTAAATAAATACAAAAATGAAAATAAAATAATGCTATTGTAATTATGATAAATACTTTTGCCTTCCCAGGAACCTAAACCTTGCTTTCTCCTTATTAGAAAAGAAATTCAGCAGCTGTTAGTGAGGTGTTAAAGACATACTGGCATCAAATGGAGACTTTCTCCATAAAGTAATCGGAAAGATTTAGTAAGTGGAAAACGAATAACTTTCTCACTATGGATTATAGGCCAATTAGTGTTGAGTTCTAGTACCATCTAAAGCAATATTCCTCTAACTTTAATGTGCATAGGAACCATCTGGGAGAACTTCTTGAAAATGCCTAATTAGATTCAGAAGGTCTGGGGTGGACACGAGAACTTGCATTTTTTTTTTTATTTTTTTTTATTTCAGCATATTATGAGGGTACAAATGTTTGGGTTAGATATATTGCCCTGGCCCCACCCGACTCAGAGCTTCGAGAGTGTCCATCCCCCAGACGGTGTGCACCGCACCCATTAGGTGTGAATATCCCCATCCCCTCCTCCCGCCTCCTATCTGCTGGACACTTCATGAATGCTATTACTATATGTGCACTTAAGTGTTGATCAGTTAATACAGATTTGATGGTGAGTACATGTGGTGCTTGTTTTTCCATTCTTGGGCCACTGTGGGCTCTGCTCACATAGTCACTCTATGCTATTTTATGATGCCCTGTCTCAAATAGTACTTCAGAGTTCACCTTGGGAGGCAAGACTAGGGGTGGAAGACTTTGCACCAGCAACTAAATGCTCTGTCTTGGAAGTGATACACATCACTGTTGCCCACAACGCGTGGGCCAGAACTGTTCACATGACCCCAGTCAACTGCAATCACAAGGTGATTGGAGAGGAATAATACTTCCTTCTTCCTGGAATAAGGGTAGAATCAGATAAGGTGAACAGTAAAAGCCTCTTGTGATTGGAGAGGAATAATACTTCCTTCTTC